TTTGACTATCGATTCGACTGATGGGGTCCAGGAAATCATAGGGAGCCGGGCCGCCTGCATGGCGGCCTCAGGAAGTACGTGTTCGTTTGCGATGTCCGACGCCTGGGCGGCCTTAGCGTCGATAAACCAAGCATCGAGAAAGTTGGGGAGCTCTTTAATGAAATGCTCCCGAATGTCAGGATCAACCGGTAAGTAGATGGAAGGGTCGGGCTGTCCCTCGGGAGCGGCCTGATTCGGCACAAAGGAGGGGCCCCCTCGTCTAACTTCTTCTTCTTCTTGACGGGACTACCGTCGAGAACTGCCTCGACATCCTCCCCCTCCTTGTCGGAGGGCAACGATTCCTCTTCTCGTGCCTGGCTTCTAGTCACTTGAGGTTCGGCCATCGACTCTCGCTGGCCGCGGCCCCGACCAGCCTCGCCTCCACGACCTCCGGTTCGGCCCCCACGCCCATCGGTCCGACCTCCTCTCCCTGTTCCAGGACCTAACCCGGGCACCACACCGGAGAGCGGCACCGAACCCGCGGCCCCGGCTTTGGCCTTTTTGGCCCTCTCCATCGTAATTCTCATGCGGACAGACATATCCCCCAAACGAGCTTTGAGCGGGTCAGGAAATTCTTTTCTCTCTCTAGAAATTGTAAGAAAACTCTGTAAGGATTGTAAGGATATCGTAAGTGCCGACCTCGTACGAGAGGCTGACCTCGCGATCGCTTAATAAAACTATAATTAATCTATCTGTTTCCTTTGTTTTTAATCCAGTACTTTTATTATCTATCATTTTAACCGTTGACCGAAAACGTTCGTCAACAAAGCTAAAAAACAAACGGGGCCTATGTTTAATGAGAAAATTACTCAATACACTATGTATTTGACTTTTTATTACACAATTAATCTCAAATTATAAATATTAGCAATATTAATCAAATTATACTTTTTATTTGCAGATCTGCCAGAAAAAGTAATATGGTAATAGAATTATCTCACATAATTAATCTCTCTCCCATTAACACCACGTCGTCAACACCGAACCTTATCTCCTCTGAAGCTCAACAACAATGGAAAAGACTAAATTTGGAAGAAGCCCATCCATCAGAGTCGGAAGTTCACTTCATCGGAGGTCGAGTTCCCGTCTAAGGAATATGAAATCTAGCAGGCACCCAACACTTTGTACAAAGAAATTGCAGTTCGACAAAAAATTGGGTCGATCAGAAAAAAATATGAAGTCCACAAGATTCAGATTTCGAGGATGAAATTCAAGCCGAATTGAGTGAAAGTGAAGAAATATTCGGCTCTCCAGCGTGGTGCTGTTCGTAAGCGGGGTCGTCGCCGGTGGTCTCTTCAACAGGAGAAAAGTGTTCACAATGGGCTGCTCGAAGGCTACTCAAATGCGGAAGGCTCTATGGCTGCTGGTGCACTCTGTCCTATGTATACAACTAGTATATCTTCTGTATATGTTCTCGACAAATACACTGTTGTTTAGTATATATGTTTCGTTTATAATCACTAATATATCATATGTATATGTTGATTATATAATGAGTATATCTTATGTATATATGTCTGATCTTGAAACAAAAAATAATTACGAAAAGATAAAATTACCAGGTTATTTCGCATATTTTTCGGACTTAATTGTTTTTTGTATATCTTCTGTATATATTTTGTATATATTATGTATACAGAAAAAACGCAAGAAACATAACAGAACATATACATTTAATATACGGTATTAACACGATGTGAAGCTTAAAAATAAACAAAAAACAATTCGACCTGCACAAAAATACCTGATTTGGCGAAATATGTATTTAGGATTATGAGATTTGTAAATAGTTATACGCTAAGTTCGTTTGAAATTCAAACTAGTTATGTTTCCCATTTCTAGTGAACAAACTCATTATTAGGGTATGGTGACTTACCATATGTGTTTTTAATTTTTTTTTTAAGGAAACCGTCAATTATTATGCCAGCTATAAGGTAGGGATGTGTTATCTTTTTTCAGGGGTGGTAACTGCAATTTTAGCATATTGGCAATTAATTCCCAACAGTTATGTAGGGATGCAATACAAGATTTGACTATGGCATATTTATAAATATTTTCAAATCGTACAGTATAGATAAAATTTTGCCATGTTTAATTGAGGAGTTGGCCATATTTTTGGGCCTTTTTGTATGTGTGGCCATTCAAATTAGTTTGGGCCGAGGCAAGAACATCTCAATAAGGAGCTTCAAACCGATTATCGAACTATCATCGATCCGTATCTCATTGCTTGTAGATTTCCCGAAGTGCGGTAAATCTCGTAATCCTCTTTTAAATCGCGTTTGGATCCTTTAGTGTGAAATTCGTTAATTTTTGAGTAAATGAGATAATTTTATATATGAAAATCATCTTGCCAAAATTTAGGTTTCTGAGGCGTTGAGCCTCACCAACCCATCCGAGCCTTTGTGCTATTTATCATCTTGTCTGCTTACCAGGTGGGTTTTATTTGAAATTGCTATACAATAAATTGTGGTCTTACGTGTGGTATGATCAATGTATGTATGTGAAATATGTAGCATTCAATATGAGCTGTGTCGGCCGTCGAATATCCCCATAACTGTGAAGCGAAACCCGTGGGGTTTACTCCTACTGCTGGCATCGATAGAAGCCCGAGGGGCATTCAGTGTAGAAGCCCGAGGGGCATTAGACATAAAACCCCGAAGGACATTCGATGTAAGGTCACATTGAGGGGCGCTCGTTACGTCTACCAGCAGTAGTCTGTTGATAAAGGTGTGTGCATATGTGTCTTGATTGATGATATATATGATGAAAAAATTGGGATAAATGATTAATTCGTATACATGCTGCGACCATACCTGTATTATATTGTGATTGTTGTTTATTGTATAGTGGTGAGCACTATGATATCATTTCTGCTCACTCTCACCTGCTCTTCATGGATGCATGTTAAGCAGTTGGCGGGTGACGAGGCAAGACGAGTGGGTGGTCTTTATTTATTGCATTAGCTTCCGCTTTTATGAACTTATGATTTATGAGATATGTTGAACAAATTTTCAAACTTACGTTTTGAATTATGGTATTTGAGTAAGCTAAATATTATTATTTTTTTTTTGAGTAAGTTGAATGTCATGTGAAATGTCGTAATTTGGTTAATGAAAACCATATGTGAAAGTCGGGTTTATGAATCCCGTGGGTCTAGATAAGACTTGGACTGAGTAAATGTTTTGATAATGTCCTTGATTTCAAAAGTGAATTCGAATAATGTTGTTCTGATTTTTAGAAAGCCCGGGATTTCTTTAAAATCAAGGAGGGGTGTTACAATGCTTGTTTTTTAGGTTGTTCTTTTGTCTGGGTCATTTGGCCTCTGTGAGCCCGAGTGTCATCTTATTATTCTGTTGGGATCGCGCACTCAAGCGTTACCCTGTTGGGGTCCTTGTGCTTTCTAGTTGTGTTTTTGTGTCCCCGAGTATTATCCCGTTAGGGTCGGTTCTAGGCGGTCTTTTGACCTGTCTTCCCACTTTTTCAGCTGTTGGCTGCTCGTATTTAACTGTTAGCTGTTTGTATTCAGTTGGTGGTTGTCCTTTTGCACATTTGTGCGCGTTATATAAAATTTCTATCGTTTTGAAATATATATATATAATAAGAATAACAATTAATAAAAATAACAATAATAACTTTTGCGAGCATTAAATGCATACCAAAATGCATATATTTAAAAAGTGTATATGGAAGCAATGAATACATATATTTAAAATGTTTCCAAAAAAATGTATGCATTAAATGCTCCTAAAATTTTTTATTATTATTTTTATTAAATGGTTATTCTCGTATATATATATATATATATATATATATATATAACAAACTACTAATTAATTAATCTAAGCAATAATTATTCTAACTAACAACTCGAAACTTGGCTTTGAATCTTCTTATCAACTTGTCGTTCAAGTCACGCCGCGTTCGTGTTTAAACCTCACGTTGCGCGCACACCGTGCATGATCTTCGAGCGTGTGTCCTCGTATTCGAGCTCTCGCTCTCGCTCGTCCTTTCGGCCAAGCGACCCCCTTTTGCCCCTTTGTGCGATCTCACATGATCGCTTCGGCACTTCTCTCTTCTCGTCCATGGGCATCGAAATCTACATCCTCACCACGTGCGCAGCATGGCGACCCACGATTGCCCAGGAAAGGTGCAGAAGACCCGCGAACACATTGCACGACCTAATTGTCGTGCACGCGACCTGCGTGGGATCTGGGTATTCCCATAGACTCGCGCGTCCTTCTCAATGCTCTGCGTGCTCCCAGCATTGTCCCAAGCGTCTAGTGCAGTCATTCGCTAGCAGACCCGAGGAGACCTAGGGTCTTCCAGGTAGCACCAGGCGCTCCAGCACGCGCAACACGTAGAGACCCGAGCAGACTCGACCTAACTCGGGCACCAGCACGCAGACTCGGGC